ATGTACGAGTGCCCTATGGTAATAGGTTATTACATTTAATATAAGAATAACTGCATTTTCTACTCAATGATGGCTAAATTTTTAGCTGAAGCATTTGGATATCAGATAAACATATAAGTAATTCACAAAACTTTTGTTGGTGTAATCCTCGATTTTTAAACTCACCACATATTCATTGTATTTACATCAGTATTAAGATTTCACCCTTTGCGCTCGTATGCCGCCGCTCCGGCACCATAATATGCTATAATTACTTTTGCAATGTACGAGTGAAATATTAATTCAATTCATAAATTCTAAATTCATGTTTCAGAAATTATGTTTGCTAAATGTAATGGCATATAAAATATTTGTTTTGTTTTATATTAATTATATTTATATACTATAATTAGATAGATGTTACAGCATGGATTCTTGTAGTTTAATCTATCTAAAATTAATTATTCACAAATACAGGATTCCTTTTTTTTAAAACATAAATAATAGAGAATTAATAATATTACGCTACTATAAGTCTTTCTTTGTAGGTTATATATTTATCGTCGTTAGAATTTTTTTTTGTCTCTTAATTTCATTTTTAGATTTTGTTTTAAATATGTAAAAAATTACCATCCACTTACAAAAAATTTTTATAAACCGCACAAACATTAAAAAAGTAGTTGTAAAAACATAACCTAAACTAATAAGTGAACATTTGTATATTCAAAAATAAAAATATGAATTCCAAAACCAATAATCTAACGATGTTTATAATCTAATATGTTCATTCGGTGAAATTTCTAACATATATAAATGAGCTTTTTCCAAAAGAGAAAGAGAGTTTATATGCTGACAAGAAAATTCGATTTGCTAATTTTATGTGTCATAGACGTTTTAAGTCATTCTGAATACGTTTAACGTTTAACGATACATTTAATTATAAAAAATCGGAATAATGGATCGTGTCAAAACTTCAAGGTTCTATCATGACAGTTTTAACTAATTTACTAACTCTTAATTTTCATTGATAAAGTTTATTCAGTTAGATACATCAACGAAAATGATATATCTGAAAGTTTTTGCAACTTGTCTTAAGACAACGTACTAATTGCACCTAGTTAAATTTCCAATACAATTAGTAAATGAGGAATTTAGATTTTCTTAATCTTTACTATTTTTTTAACATAGCAGTTTGTGAGTATCAATGTAGTGCCTTGGCTCAAAAGCACATTTCCAATTATTTTTTTATGATTATAGTAAACAATCGGTCGTTGAATTCATGTTTTTTGTAAAATCTTGAAAATTTTTGTATTGAACGCATCGATTTGTCACGTTTTGGAGCTGTTACGAAATTTATGATCAGAAGCGAATATTGTTTTTTACTATTGAAAATGTATGTGTTATTATATGTGAAGAAATACGTAACTCATAATAGAATGCGACATTATTAATGACAAAAATTGCAGTATTCTGTCAGTATTCATATATGAATTTTAATCGCTATATATTGCATTTTGCAATTTTATATTGAATTTCGTTACTTTAATGATCTTTTTAATATGCAATTAGTATTTGATTTAATATTGAAATATTTTAATTGAAATTACATTAATCATTATTATACTATTAATATATTTTATTCTAATAATACCATTTATTATTTGTGAAATCTAAACGTATGGGCCACTCTATATATTGCATTTTCTTGTATATTTATATGCACATGATTGAATAATTTCTGAATTATGACTTTATTATTAACAAATATACATTTATTGTACATTGTTATGAAAACTTTTTTATTTTTGATCTGACCTTAGTGTTTCAGCCTTCTCTATATATATTGAACATAACGTAACCAAAAATAAATTTAAATATGTTATGTGTGTTTACTCCTGCGTCGTTTTATAATCGCACACAAACGACATTTTAAAGAGAATTTATTTCTTTTATATAAATACAATACAACATTTTCTAAATTTATTTACAATAATTCAAAGCAATACATTGTAATATTGTATGACCTAACAATGTAGGCTTCATATCATTTGTTCATTTTGGAGACATTCTTGTCAAAACTGTTCATGCAATGTTGAAATTAAATGATTTGTGAGAATGTTAAAATATATTTCAATTTGAATTGAAAAAAACATTTCTGTAAACTATTGAAATCACAAGCAAACTAGTGGTGCATGGAATTGTGGCTCAGAGCAAATTGCTAGAACTTTTCGTACCAAAAATTAAAATGTTTAAAAAAGCTTTAAAATTTGTTGAAAAAATGTGAACAAAATTTGTACTTGCTATTAAATTTTTTATATAATATCTCATAATTTGATGGGCATATGTCTAATGATTATTTTTGGCGTATTAAATATATTTTTTTACGTAATCTCTGGACTTGCACATCCAAAAATTTAATCAGTTCTTCATTAATTGAATAAAATGCTTCTTGAATTATTTAAATTGAACGCTCTGTTCTTTCAAAAACTGAAATGCCATTTTATGCACTTTTTGTCTCGTATCTTTGAAAAAATTTATTTGTAAATGTCTTTGCCAAAAACTAATCAGCACGTCTTTCCATCAATACGAATCGAATTAGTTTTGAATTACAGAAATTGGGTCGACCCGAAATAGTCAACGAAAATTTGTATCCGAACACACACAAACAAACACATACATACATACAAACATATACAGACACACATTTTTTCTAAGGTAACGTTTAGAAATGTTTAAAACGTAAACGATATTGAAGACGCCCGGCGCAATGTTTATTAAAAAAGTAATTATTTTCACTACACACGGACACTCCATTATTTCGAAGGACCAGAAATAATTTATTATTAGAATGTCTATATCAGACCTTTAAAATAATTAAACGTAAAAAATAAGTAAGTTAGGTTATTAATATTATATATTTGCAAGATGTTTACGGATTAAGATTTACGTACAGAATGTAATAAATTTCTTATAACAAGCTTAGTACCTATACTAGGGTAGAAAATTATTTTATATATTGTTTATATAGGGTAGGAAATTAGTTATTGATTGTGAGGCTCGAACAGATATATAAAATTTTCATTTTCGATTTGTTTGTGTTTACTATAACTTACCCTACTTAATTATTATTACTAATAATAGTTATTTTAATTATTCGTTTATTATTTTAGCCAAATTATTTAGCAAATCCATGATTAGTAAAGTTGTGCTTTTGATTGTGAGATGGGAAATTTTGTTGCATGTAACTATTGACGTCATTGTATATCAATGTGTTTACATTAATCATTTTTTATGTAAATCAAACATTTTTCAATTAAACTTATATAGGTCTAATTATGCAAGTTTGCTGATTCACTAATTTTTTGCTTACTAAACGATATATAATAACATTGCACGAAAGTCTGCGGTCAATGACAACTGATTAGTACGTGTAAATATAGTCAAACACAACGTGGCCTCGTTCACTGAGGGCTCCAGGTCCATAAAGTAGAAGGTTTCTGGAGTATATGCGCATTTACTAATACAATGTAGGGGAGGCTACATACGGTTGTACCTGAGTACGGTTGTGACAGTCGTCATAGAGGCTCAAATATACCGATTTGGAGGAGTACAAAGTA